TGGGTATGCGAAGGGGGTGTGAAAATGAAAATGGGAACGGTGGTCTGGTAGAGTGAAAGGATACCTCGACATCGTATGTACTGACGGTATCTCGGTATCAGACTCCCCCATCGAGTCCAATATCCACTGAAAATCTCCTCGACTCGAGCTACATCATGGATATGGAATCTCGGTCAAGGGCTTCGAGAAGAGGAGAAGGAGAGAAGGGATGGGGGGGGGGGGGAGAGCAGCCACCGTTCATTCCCCGTCTTAGATGCTACCCTTCGTGCATCTGATCGTCGTCGCAACAGAAAGAAACATACCAAATGCTCGTGAATGCCTTCAAAGTTTTTCGCCGCCTCCAAGGCCCGACTCAAACCACCAACCCCCCGGGCCCTCGAGAGTATCACCACTCCCGGGCAGACCCCTCCCCTCTCGCCCCGTCAGGTAATATCCAATATCAAAATGGTGTTCAAGCCGTAAAAGGGAATGCAACAATGTTCCACTCCAGTGCAAGTGGTGGTAAGTTAGGTATCCGCAGCGCCGCCGCAGGACAACAACCGTGGCCCCCGTACTCCGTACCTGCATTCGGCACTCGACTCACCGAACCACCACCCACCCACCAACCCGGGGCTCCGACTTGAAAGCTGACCTTGCTTTTGGACTTTCGTACTGCGTAGGTTCGTATAGCTTCATCCTGCCCTCCATGTACCTCCTCAAACGAGCATAATTCCCCCCTCCAACTGCCAACTTCAGGGTCTCTGGCGCCATGGGAATCTTGGAAGATCTGCATTCTGAACCGTTTTTTGCCCACTCTAGAGTCCATGCATTCCAACTGACAGGTTCACCTGAAGGGTTGCATCGCATGCGGTGGGCAAGAGGAGGAGGAGAAGGACGAGAGAATAAGGGACAAAAAGAATACCACCCAGCAATGCCAGTCGAAGAGGAACCACCGCCGCCGCAAGCCCGGCCCCCGAATCAAGCTTCATCGACAAAGCAACAAACAACAACCCTCCGCCCCGCCCAATAAGCACCGCCGTGTATCCATTATCGTGAAAAAAAAAGGAGCTCCTCTCCCGACGGTTGCTTCGTGGTGAGAAAGTGGCCCTCCTTCCCCCCCCGGTATTCCGGCCGAACACGAGAGATCAACGCGTGGCAAAGTCCCGTGGTTGACCGACCGGAGGCTAGGAGCACCGGGCTTCACGGCCCTCCTTGCCTAATGCCGACGTTCTCTCTGGGGAGTGCTGAATCCACGACGTCGGACATGCGTCTCGGGGGACCGGGGGGCGTGTTAGTTGCTATTCACGCCTCTCTCTTCCCACCCACCAAACATATCCTGTAACCAACCCCCTTTTCCTGCCTTCTGCTTCATGTATCAAGACACGCCAATCTTGCCTCTCCCCATGTCTGATTTCTGCAAGAATCGTACGCAAATAACGTCAGTGCCTCCCCTCCAATACTTCCCCGAGTTGCCTTCATCGTGGCTCAGCCCTCTATAAATATATATAATTCCAATGATTTTCTCAGGGGGGGACCGCGATCAAGGGTTCCATTGAATGATTTCCACCCATCGAGAAACCTACCTCGTCGAGAAATGATCATCGTCGCTTTCTGCCCCCCCCCCCCCCAATTCCCCTCTCTTCCCGCCCTTCCTCAATACCCAAGCGCAGTGCAAACCTTGTTCGTTCCAACCTTGATCATGGCATCGTAGTCAGGGACCAATCTGCCATCTCACTTTTGTGCCCCCAAACACCGCACAACACACTGCTGCCCGGCCCCCCGTGTGCCCCCGCAAGACCCACGCCATGGAAGGGTCCATCGAAAAGTTTTCTCCCCTCCAGCAACTTCATCCCCTCCAATCGACAATGACCTCATGATCGACACCGAATTTTCTCACTTGGGCAAACGTGACCGTCAATAATGGCTGCATCCCAGCGGCGCCCGTGGAGACCCTTAAAAGGCATTCCCAGAGCAAATCCACCGTCTCTACCCTGATCCCGGCCGACCACAGGGCGCACGCGGGATGCTCTCCGATGCCACAGCGTCAGCGTCTGTGAGTGCCGTGCCGGACCACCACGATGGGCAACGGCAGAGAGTCAGATCGAGAGAGCCACCTCCACTGTCAGGACCCAAGTCAAGTTGCTGGCACTGAGATTGCCTCTATCCGTAGGTCCGCCACCCATCCGCAACAACAGGATGAGTCGATCTGTTGCTATTATACGAGTCGAACGTTTTTCGTGGTACTCGTCAATCCCCTTTTCTTTTGTGCCTTACGTTCCCGTTGGGGAGTGAAGCTTATACCCGTATGCGCTGTAAGTGAGGGAACGAAATTGTACCTGCGCTTTGCACACAGCACGACTTTGTTTTTGCCGCCGTTAGTGTTGCAACCTCCGCCCGGATACCCTCGTCAACTGGCGCTTACAAAGTTAACCCTAAGCTTCGTCATTTCCTAGTCCCGAGAGAAGGGCACGTTCCGGGGTGGATGACAACGGTCCCTAGAGGCCTTGTTCCCATGTCCGGCAAAGCGCAGGTTGGTGCCCCGGGTCTCCGAGTGTAACGTGAGGTGGACCTCAACCCAAGCAGGCGAACTCAACCGGCTCGGCTACAAGACATTGCCCTGACGCATATTGACGAAAGCTTCTCATCACCGGCGCGTCGGACGGCAACCTTGTATCTCCACTGACTGAATTGCGACCATATTGGCCATATGGCACTCCCCCGGCTGCGGGATCAAGCCCCGAAGGTGTCCTGCGTCAACTGCCCAGCGTTGCATGTGGTAAGATTGGAATTAAGCTCCAGGATGATGGGCCAGGGCGGGTCAGGGCCTGCGACTATTATGTAGCCCCTCTGTTTGGTGGCTGAGAAACCCGTCAAGATGTTTTCTCTGGTTCATACGCAGTACACTCCGACTGACTCGTATGCCACAGTCGGAGCGTAGTTTGACAGGTTTATTGGCACTTAATGGCGGGCGATATTGTCGAATCTCCGTCATAGCCAGTCTGAGCGGCTGTCGCCGTTCTGCGAATCGGGGACTTTAGGGTTCGGCAAGCTATTGAAGTTACGGGCCATGGTAGAATGGTAAGGTACGAGATCCTATACTACCTTGCGCTGACCGCGAGGTAAGCCGTGAAGCAATCTCGATGAACAATGAGTCCATGGAGCTTGCTGGCAACTCTGAGATAAAAATGAATCCGTACCTTTGCCCATGTATCCGTACTCCGTAGCACCAGTGTGCCCCCACCTCCACTGTGGCTGCCGCCACCCTCTACCAAATACCTGGTATTGTTGGCGCTGTATGCATAGAAGCGTGAAGGAAATGGGTGGTTCTTTTCTAAAATCGGCGATCAACGGTCAGCTTAACTTGGGCAGTTGGTCCCCTGCTTCGGCGCTGAATGCGAGGACCCTGAAAGAGCCGTACTAGTGAGCAACCGACGGTTGGTATCGATCGCTGGGTAGGGCTCCGTGGTCTCGTAGTTAGCCTCCTGTACCCCAGCGCCGTTGCGCGGGATGGCCCAAGATGGCTTCAACCATGTGCCCAGATTGGGATGCACACCATCAGTTGTCATAATCTCCTGCGGGCATTGAGCAATGAGCGCTCATGAGGTTATACCGTTATACTACCGGTAGGCGCTACGGAACGCCCTGGGGTCTGCTGAAATCCTCTTACCCCAAGAGTGCGTGCTCCGAAGCCACATGTGCCAGGGCCCCGCAAACATGCATGGCAACCCTCCCACTTTGACGCGCTCAGAAAGGCCATGATCCCAGGCACTCTATCCGTTTGTACCACGGCCGCCCACCCAAGCTGGTCTGAAGCGTTGCATTTTCAAGGCTTGGCGAGATTTGTGGCTCGCGATAACATCGTGCGAGGTCGATGGCAGCTGGCTTCAAAGCCGCATATGCGGACTTCAACTCGGGGCTTGCTGGCCGCTCCGTGCGCTGTTTGCTAGCGCGATATGGACGTGAAATGCCTACCAGGCATGATTACTTGACAGATAATCATCATGCCGTCTCTGGGTCGGCAAAGTCCTGAGTGCTGAGTGCGGGCTCGCATTTGGACTGGACATGGTATCCATGGTCGAGCTCAGGATCCCGGGGGAGAGCTCAGGGAGCTCTTGCTGGAGCCGTCTACTCATTGACAATGTACTCTGTCATCTCCCCTGGTTACACCTTGTCCGTATCCACTCGGTGAATTATCCGGCCAAGTTCAACTGATCAGAGAATTATGTTTCGTGGTATCCGTACTTCGTAGTGGGCAGAACTTGGTGATTGCTGCTGCTCAGGCAGACTCACCAGTCCCAGCAGTTTCCATCAGTCAACGCCACAACATACTCGTGCCGCGTCCCGGGAAGAATGAGGCGCCGAGACTGGCCGACCCCTGTATCTGTATCCGTACTTCGATGCATCGTCAGGCTTAACAGAGCAAAGACGGGGGCCCCGTTTCTAGAGAGAATGACGTTGCTCGCGGCACCTCAGTATCCCCATTTGGACGGCACAAAATGTGTGCAGTGAGGCCCTGAGGAAAGCTCAGCGCGCTCCCCTTTTCGGGAGCTGGTCTGATGGAGGTAAAGCCCATCAGGTGACAGGGTTACGAGTTTCGAACATGTCCCGCGCGACTCTAACAATGACACAGAGAACCATGGGTCGTGTGTTGTCGGGGTCTGTTTCAACTCTCTGTGCAACGACTGTTGATGCAAGTTCCATTGCAATGGCACAACGCTGGCCTTTACCGGTGCCACGAATCAAGCGTGCGGCGCAGAGGTTTCCACACCGCAACTCTCGATGATGCTGCATTGCGGAGAGTTGGCTGAATACGTGAGGGTTAACGACTGTTCATTGGAGCCCTTTGGAGTGGATGGAGCTTGTGCCATCGTGGGATGTTGTTGGTGGAGTCGATGTCGCTTTTCCAAGTGTATCCGTACTTTGGTGAAAACAGCAGCCCGGTGAAGACAGTTTTTTTTCTCTGCTTCTGTTTGGCTTTCTCAAGTACGACATGACATCATTCTGCCGTGGCGGTGCGCTCCCTCCAACATCGACAACCATCCCCGGTCCTTGTCCAAGATGAAAATGGAGACTGAGATGGAGAATGGATATGAAGCACGCGCACGCGGGTCCTGGGCCCCGCATCAGTTTGTTTCTCTCCAAAGCCCCAGGGTCGAAAGCAACAAACGGCGCTTTGCAACGCCGTCCTCTCCATCTAAATACGCCGTGCCAAATCAATGTCAGGTCTCACCCCCAGGAGGAAGAGGAGGAGGAAAATTTCAGTGTTGTACTCCATCTGAGTGGCACCAAACAAAACTATCAAAGTCACAGCCTGAGCTGCGAGGCCCATTCCGACTGGCTACCGGTGTCGTCAGTGAGGCATTTGCCATTTGGCGATGGCAACAAGGCGACGCTGAAGGGGCGAACTCTTACCAAAGTCTACCCACCCATGTTCCATGCACTGGTGCATGTCTGTGTCTTTGATCACGAGACCCATTCCACAGACTTTGCAACTTCTTCCGTACGCCAGGATTGCCTCTCATCAGCTCGCCCACAAACCACGGCAGGTGTGTGCGACGTGAACCGCAAAGCTGGAAATTATTGGGACCCCCAACTACCGATATTTGGCGATTTCTGGGTCTCAATTAGAAGCCTTACGGCCGGATCCTTGTGGTTTAATGTTGGCAATGTTATCCCAACACTGATGCGAATTCATCGGACTGCAACAAATCCATTGGGTCTATCCCTGCAGGATCCTTTGGAAGTCGACTCTGTGGTCGGCGCTTGGATGCCATCGTTATTTGTGTCGTGTGCAGCCGTATCAGAATAGCATTATGCATTAGGAGAAGGCGATAAGTTTGCTATTTCGTCAACAAGTCTGGACCGGAAGACCTCCTGCTCGGCTGCATCATTCTGTGCCGGTAGGGGGATTCTCAGGCCACCCGGTCCAATCTCGTCAAGTCGAGGAAACTCTGTTCAGTAGACTCGAGATTCCATTCTCCTCGGGACGAACTGTTGGGTTGCTGTGCTCAGGAACCGAACAACGACCGTTGAAGTTGATGACAAAAGCAAGCGACGATTGGTCCGTCGTTGCCCTCTGAAAGCTGTGCTGGGATGAACTACCACACCCATGGGCATATTCTCCAGCGTCCTGAGCCGAAGATCAGCATCAGAAACGGGTAGGCCAGCTGCGGCGGCCTGCTCCCGACAACCAGTGCTTCTATTTCGATTCCAAGTCGGTCATTGGCGCCAACCAGTCCCGGCCCAATCGGCAATCCATTCATAGAACCCTTCTTCCTGAGGCTCCTTTACGGATGTAGATCGACTTTCAGAACCCAGAGACACAGGTATCGCGCTTGTTGTCGCAGGCTTGTAGCCCCGTGATTGATGAGTTTCGAACTCTCGACATTAGCCTGTGGGTAAGGAGGTGAGTCTGGGTCGCCATGACGTCAGAGCTTTTCCCTCGTTGTCCCCGCCTCGCCCTGGTAATTTGGGACAGGTCACAGACTCACACCCGCTGCGCGAGACACTCGGGTCTAGAGTCTAGGCATGGGGTTGCTATGCTTGACATGAGACGGTCTGGCCCTCCATTAACCTTCTTTCCTAAGTCGAGGCCTGTGGTACAGTGTTCGGCTCGAGCACTCTGCACTGCTGGAGTACCTGTGCAGCATAGCTACGGGGAGCCCGAGGGGAATCTGAGTAGCTTCCTTTGGGCTCTTCTTAGCGTGGTGCACTGAAGATGTTCCTGAGAGCTAGCTTCGTTGACGTCCGTCTAGAACAAATTGGCAGCTCGGTGATCCCATCTGCAAGGGCAACTGTGTGGCCTGTAGCTGTCACGGCTTGAGGCGGATTCAGTGCCTCCACCGAACTATTGGGACGTGCTGGAAGTTGTTGTGGTCGGCAAGCTCTCGCAGACTGCAGAGGCCGTTGCATTCGCTGTCGGGCCATCGCTTAAGCTCGCATCGACAGTAGATCTTCTTTTGGCCCGCCCATGAAGTGTGACTTAGATGAGTCTTTGACAGCTTTCAATTCGGAACCCCTGGTGCGGAATATCTCTCGCTCATCAACAGACTCCGCTGAAAACCGTTCCATTCTCCAGTCTTGGTGTTTACATAAAGTCTAGCCAGGAACGCATTGAGGCGATGGCATTCAGGATTGTGGTTCTTGTGTTCTAGCCTCCGAGGCTTGCTCTCGTGGTAATTAGTGAATTGTGCGGTAAAGTGAATAAGCTTAGATGAAACAAGGATTGCAGCGTCCGTCCCCTCTCTTGACAGCTACTGGTCCGAGTCGGAAATGATCAGTCGGCGCCCAACTTTGGTAGTCGCTCAATGGATCCCTGGAAGTCGCCTTGTAATCTCCCAAGGACTTCTACTGTGTAAATGAAAGGAGCCATATACCCATCATAAATAAATAAAAAACCGTTTCTCTTGCTTTGATTCGATATGGCTCGAAGGATTCTGGACGAGTCGGCATCCTGAAATGGCTGTAAACAATGCAGCGTCGTCTCAAAGTACCACGCCCGGCTATTCAACGGCCGGGCTATTTGAGTCTGGCGGCGTTTCGGGCCATTTCGATGCTCAAAGAGGCTAAATACGAAACACTCGAGAAGTACTGTGCCGTGGATTTGACGGCGGCCCGGAAAAATCCTCGTCAATTTTCGTTTCCGAAGCCTTGGTTGCATTTCAAGATGGGGATTGAGCTGACTCGAGTAAGCCTTTGGAGGTGCATCTGGGAACTCGCTGGCCGGCAAAATGACGTCAACACGCCTTTTCAATATCATCTGCTATTCGAAATAAGCTCCACGTCAACAGAGAGCCGTTGGGGGCCAATGTGCAATGCATGTTCCTGTTACGCGGCCAAGTTGAAGTCTCCCGCACGATGACTGTGGATACATTTCCGCGTTGCCTTCGAGGCATTGAGGTACCGGACTCATGGATTCCTCAATGCGGTAACAACAAGTGACTCTGACACATTGGAAAGGCTGCCACGATGACCCAGCCATAGTCACCAGCGCTATGCCGCCGCAAGTCTTCAGCAAAAGCGTACTGACGATGTCAGATGTGGTTTACCATCGGGATGGCGTCAACACAAATCTGCCTTGAAAAATGATGGCACCCAATGGTCGCGTGTGAACGGGACGGGAGCTATGCCACGTGCCGTGTCCCGCGCGGGTAACAGTCGTCATGTCCAGTAGCGACAACGGCGCGCCAGACTAACAGAACGTTGGCGACGGTGTGATAGCGCCACTTAGAGTTCACTAGATGGTGCGTAACGGTCGGCAAGGCCAGTCCTCTGGAATAGGATAGCCAGGCCCGAAGCCACCGTTTAGCGAGCAACCTAGGATGTCGAATCAACGAGCCTGCAAGAGGTGGAATTGAAACGCTGAGCATATCTGCATAATGGCAGCCACTACAGCCTCGCTGAGAAATTACGCCGTATGCAAAGAATGCGCGATTGACCCGATGAACGATATGAAATCCGGAGTCGGCCCTGTCAGTAAATCAGGACCGAGAAGGAGCCAACAGCCGCCCGTCCGCTGGGGACCGCCAGGAGGGGGCTCAGGGGTAAATCATGCTCGGTGCCGGATATCGTGTGCATTCTGTTGACGATTGCAGCGCCGATCGCATCTCTGAATCGTGGTTGACATCAAGAACGCTACTTGGGGTTTGGGCTGTGCGGCTTGCCGGGCAGAGATCTGCATTCCCTAGTGTAGACATTGAATCGCCGCCAGGCAGAAAGGAGACACCCCAAGGGCCTGTTGTTGCAATATGCGATCCGAGACCATTGCCGCTTCTGAATCAATTCCCGACTTCATCGAGACTTGAGCGTGGGGTGTCGCCGGCGACTTGTCTCGGCCTGCTTAACCGTCGAAGCGATGATCGACTGAGTGAGCTCTAAGGTTGTCGCTGTTGGCCGACAACAAGCGGCTACAGCCCGTCTTTCGGGATCGCATTCAGACGAACATCACCGAAGACCCTAGTCTTCAAGCTCACGGCCAGCGCAGTGCCCTTTCAATGGCAGCAGTCGTCGGATATGACCGTTTTGGTGTATCCTGCGAACTGTCAAATGACCCAGAAGTCTCTATCTTCGGACACTGGCCGTCCTGGCACAGCTCGATTGGGATTCGGCACCTGTCCATTTTGTCTAGGGCGCTTCGGCGAGGGGCAAAACGGAGATTGCACAGCCACACGGCTTAAGGGTCCAGGGGTCTTGTGGCAAGCCTTCGCCATCTCCAATATCCAATGGGTGTGGTATGGTGGTGTAAGTATTGGAACACGCCGACTTGATTCCTTGGCGGTAGATGTTTCTGGTAGGCTATTTGACTGCTTATGACGAAGAAGCAACTTTTGCCTACTGGCAAAGATAGGGTTGTCAAGCGCTTTACGGACTGACGGAGTACGAATACCTGAGCGTGCAGTTTGAGGTGGCTTTCCGCGGATTAGGCTTGACGGGGATGAACGGCTCGACCAAACTTGGAAGGCATCGTAGCGTTGCAGGCTTTGAGAGCTACCGAGCCGCGTGCTGCTGTACGAACGAAGTGGCACATCGATTTTGTCCACTGACCATCTCTGAGTCCTAGTTGTGTACGGATACCTATAGCTAGAGCGGCTGGGCAGAGACAGTTGATGGAATGTAGCCGTACGGATGGTGCGGTACTAGTTCGCCCTCTAGAGTGCGTCTGAAGCATTGGACGAGGTATCGGGGGGCTGGCAGACTGTCTCGAGTTACCGGATGACATTGATCCAAAAAAGCAAAGACGGGGAATTGCGAGCGACCTTCATCGGAATGACTGATTAAAGCCCGAGGCAGTTGGGCGGCTGCGTCAATCTAGACGAGGTCTGCCCGAAGGGTGATGCAGGTGTTTGACCAGGTTGATCAGGAGTCGAGTAATAATGCGATGAAAGCTTTGTGCAAAGAATATACAATATGCGCACCGCACCGGTGAACATCTTTGGAGACGAAGTTGTACAAAGCTCCGGCGCTTAATGCCAATGCTGAACGTTTTCTCGGGGCGGCGCCGCCGGCATGGGGCATACAGCTGTCAGAGACGCGATGGCGCAAGAAAGGACCGATCCAAGAGACGACGCCTTAATCAGACGATACCCACCGAGCCCACATAGCACTGTGACGGTAGGCACATTAGCAGAGGTGGCAGACTAACGGGAGAAGGATGAGGCCTGTGGACGGGAAAGAAGAAGAAGAGTGTGCTCCGTACTCATAAGGTACGCATGGATGGCACCGATGGCAGACAGCAGAAGAGGAAGCGGAGGATGGGCCAGGGGCGGGGTTAATGGGAATGATGAAGCCAAAGTGAGCATGGCACACGGAAATGCCAGTGCGAGGATGGGGAAAACAAAAAGACGCCTGGATGCAGAACTGGAAATTGGCTTGTGGCAGTGTGGGCAGATGAAGATGAGGTCGGGCTGGCACTGGCGCTGGCGCTGGTAGGTTGTTGGGTTCAGTGTTCTCAAAGATGGAGATGGCGGACGCAGGACGCAGGACGACGAGGGCGAGGGCGGCGGCGATATGATGGGCGAAGGGAGACACCCTGTGCGGGAACATGATGTGATTGAGGAGGACGGGAGTCCCGTGGAGTTGAGTTTTACATTGGAAGAGAACCTGGAAGCCTTAAGGTGCCTTTTGCGCATCATGGAAAGCACCCATTCCCAGTTCCTTCCAGGAGAAGGCAAGGTTCCCAGTACATGAAGTGTGAGGCAGGAGTGAACCAGCCGAGCTTTGCGCAAGGGGACGGGGGAAAGAGCAAGCCACCGCAAACGAAAATCGAGGTGCGATGCATGCTCTGCTCAACTCAGTACCTTGGGGTAAAGGTATTACTATTAGAGAGGTGGCCCAGGCCCCCTCAGACAGAGAGGCAGACATTGTTTAGTGAGGCAGGCAAGGTAATGCTGACTACTACCTTCCATGCTTGATGATAAGGTGCGAGGAAGGCGCCGTTTAAAGTGCCCAGTTAGCGATTAAAGTTTCGGTAAGGCGCCCTTCATCGCACACCTGCCATGTGTGGTGTTTCTGTTTTGAGCAAGGGCGTTTTGCGCTTTCCCATGTTTGAAAAACACCATAACCCGTCTGACCTTAAGGTAGGTGCGAAGTAGACGCTGGAGAGAGAATGGCAAGAGCAAGCGGGAGCAATTGACTGGTGCGCTATTTCTTCCTTCTACGTTCTTTCCGGGAAGGTGCCTCGGAATAAGGTACCTTAGGGTAGGAAGCATTAGAGCATAGCTTCCTTGCCCTTGGTACATGTGGCATGGCTGTTTTACCTTGTTGGTCAAAAAATAAACAAAAAGAAGGAGAGAATAAAGTACCTTACTCCGTGCCTGACCTTACCTCAGCTCCCCATGTCAGCAATGTAGTACTGAAGGTGGTAAGCCCTTGGGTGTGTAGCAACTGCCTTACATCGAGATTCAATAGTAACCCCGATGATATTGGATAATGAGAAGGAGCGAGGGTTGGACGGCACACGGGAGCAAGTACGAAGTGCAAATGGGGAAAACCGCCGCGGTTACGGAGTAAGGTACCTAGGCCTCAGGCACATGGTGCGTATGAACAATGTATCAATCTGGATGTTTATTGCTTCGTTAAAGAAACGGAAGGCACCTGCCTATGGCCTGCGTTTGCTTGGCTGGCCGAAGTTGTGCCTCCGTCTCCGTCCCCGTCCCCATCCATCACCGAGCATCTCCATTCTCATCTTTGCACCCAATCTATGGCTACTATTGCTACTACGGTTAGCTCGAGAGGGAAAGCTGTCCTGTCGCAATCGAGCCGGCACACGGATGACGGCTCGCCAACAAATGACCACCAGGGCTAGCCAAGCACCAAGATGGGACACACGGCAACGGCGACGGCGCCGAAATCTGATCCCAAGGACCCCAAGGGACCAAACGTTGTGCGGGCTGCAGAGTACAAGGTACCTTGTCTTGGGGTGGGAAGAGGCACGCAGCAGGCGCACGAGGGGAAAGCATACACCGGTATGAAGCCAGGCCCAATCCAGACAGAAGAGGGCCAGAAGGGGCCTGCCATCTGACAAGACTCGCGCGTTTCCTCATTCCCGCCTGTTCAAGGCTTCAAGCCAGAGTGAGAATAGCTCCCCCGACCACGAGACACCACCCGACTGCACCAGGGCAGGCCGCGCCGCCGCAGAACCGAAGATGAGGGACCGACTACCTTACACTAACTAGCATCCGCAACTTAGGTCGCGAATGCTAGCAAGGCCTCCGTGGATGGTACCCATACTCCGTGGTCCTTTGCATTTTGCGCAGCACTTTTTTCTTAATTGACTGACGACGTCTTTTGCCTCTCACGTCTATTCCGAGCCGCGATCCCAATCAATCTACCATACTAATCGGCTCTGTCAGAGAGTGGTCAGCTAAACCAACTACGTCAGATTGGAAAGGTCGCCGCTGGGACGGAGTAGCGCGGCTTCGTCCCCCTGTCCATCCCCCACTCTCCGAATCTCTCTTCTCCGAGTCTACTGAAGTTAGAAAAAGTGTCGGCTGACTGTGCAGGGGAAGGAGAAAAGCAAAACAGAACGGCTGGCAGAGAGGTGACGCTGTGTATGTATCCGTAGTGCTGTATTCCGTCGGTATGGATACAGATACACTACTCTGCACCTTAGCTTGCGTAATAGCAGCCTTGGCCAAATAAGAAAGGCATCGGAGAGTGCAAGAGCTCGAGCCACGCTTGAGGTGCCACACTCGTCGGGGTTGAGCTTGACACTGGCGGCTTGACTGGCGGTGATGAATGCGCGCGCCCCCTTTCCATAACGTGGGTGACTCTATTCGAAGCTGGGGGCGCCAGAGGCAACACTCAAGAGAGCAAGGTATGAATACATCTGGACTGGAAGGATGGGCTTGACCTCGGTCTGATGGGGCCACAGAGCTGCGCGTCACGGACGGGAGAGAGAGAGAAAGAAACAGAGAGATTCGGTCAGTCCGTCACCTCACCTCACCTTACCTTACGTCGGTCGCCTCCCTTGTTCGTTCCCGAATCTCCTCATCGACTTTGCAGTACTTGGTACCTTACACATCAGCGAGGGCACTTTCTCATTCTCCCGCATCTCACATCCATCTCAGTGATGATGATGGGGTAAGGAGTACGTATCCATACTTGGGTGCTCGAGAGAGACATTGGTACAACCGTTGCCGTCTTTTTTCTGAAAAACACGAGGGGCGTGTGCATAAATGAGCCTTGTCGACACATCCCATCCCGGGGGGGGTCAGCAAGCGGGGGGTGCGATACAATGCTCATTGTCGCGCACTAACAATTATTTTTTCCAAGATGGACAGTCGGCCTGGCAAGGGAGGGGGGATCGAGTGGAGGAAGCCGCCGATGGACATGCCCTGCCCCTGCCTGCCCACTGCCACTGCCCACACACGACCTCACAGTCGCGGTAGCGGTACGGAGTACAGACCAGACCACCTCACCTTACCTCGAGTGAGCAGGAGCGAGGGGAGCAGCAGCAGCAGGAAGGGGAGAAACAGCGGCACGCATGTACTGCAAGTCGAGTCCCACCTCCAAAGACACGTACCGCTACCTCGGCTGACCATGTGTCTCACGCAAGACAGCAAGTAGTCGGAACCTCGCATGTCCACCCGACCCGACCAGAAAAGCCAACGAGGGACAAAATCCAGCCCAGCTGCGCAGTGGCAGCGGAAGCGGCAGCTCCAGCAGCAGGCCGACCTCACACATCACACATCCAATCCAATGGCACCCGACACAATATCGTCTTCTTCCTTCTAGTTCTCCCTCCCCCGTCCGACTCGTTTCTCTGCCTGCCTTACCTTACTCTACATATCCTACCTTACCTTCACGGTGCTGTGATCCAAAGGGAGCGAGCGACTGTTTGTTCCTCATACTCAACATCTACCTACCTTACTTTCTTCCACTCGATCCAACTCGACTTTGCTCTTTCGTAGTAGTACTTGAGTTGACATCCATCCCTCTGCGTATCCGTACCTTACTTTACACAACTTCGCTCTGCCGTGCATCATTGCTCTGCTCAGCTCTGCTCCCGCCTCACCCACCTCGAGTCACCTCAGGAAAAGGTACCTTACCTTACTGCCGGAAATCCTCCGTTGCATACATCACAAACACACCCCACTGCGATTTCTTCATATCTTCCGCCAGACTTCTCCCATATACCGGCCTTCTTCTCCATCCTTCTCCTCCTGCCCGACTTCTCCTCACATCTTTTACTATTCCATCTCCAACTTCCGTTGTCCTCCTTCGTTGACAGTCTTGCAACTCATTCCACCTCTTTTGTGTCCCTCGACTCAGCTACTGCTGCTGCTGCTGCCTGACCTCAACTAGCTCACCTCACTTCCACATTTCATCCCATTCCCACAACCGCGAACCTCAGAGGAAAGAAAAGCGAGAGGGAAAGAAAAGAGTACGTACTATCAGCTACTTGTCTTTGCAGTCTCGCCCAAGCACATCGTCAGGTACCCATTCCCCCCGACCATCCTCACCCATGCCCATTTACCCATCTCTCCCAACACCCATTTCCATATCCCACACACCCATGCCCTTACCAGCATCAACCCAAGGCCCCAAGGGCCCCAGTTCTCTTCTCCAAGGAGGTCCTAGACCCAGGTCCCATCCATCTTCATACCCATCAACCCAGGACCCAGCCCAAAGGGCTCACTGCACCGTCGCTCAACCCGCACGCACACCCCCATCCTTACCAGACCTCTCTCTACTTTACCTTGCTCTGCCTTACAAGCGCGCATTCACACATACATACATTAGATACCGCTCATCCCATCCATCCCTCTTCCCTTGGATTGTCTACCTACCCGTCTTGCTTGAAGTTCTGTTCCGACCTTCCATCGTAGCCGCGTCTCTTCTCGCTCTTGCGCACTATTCCAACCTCTCTCCCGGCCCCGGAGCATAATACGCACACCTCGCCCACGCACGCGCCGTGTTGTCTACCGTCCATTTACTCACCTTGAGCCATAGGTTGTGTACCAAGCAACGCACCATTACAGGCCGTACCCGAAACCAGACACCAAGACCTGAGACCCTTTGGCGAACCAGCAGACTACCAATTGCTGCTACTCCTGGTGCGCGCATGGTCTCTGTCTGCCAACGTCTTGGTCTCCTCGTTTGCGCCTCTTAAACAAGCCGCTACAACCGCCCGATTCATCTCCTCGGTGAAGCAGATCCAATATCGACAGAAACGCCCACTGCGCATCTAGGCCATCGTTACTCCGCCGCGCATCCTTGTCTGTCCACCTTGCTTCACACACGTACTTGCCAGGTACCCACCGCATCCTCTAATATACCGCTCTCTCCCCACGGACGTCATACCGGAGCGGCCTTTTCCTCTCGAACTGCAACTTCTCGACCTTTGCTAGCGGCTCATTCGACTTTGCACATCACCATTTGAAGAACCAATTTCGCATCGGTTTTTTTCTTCCCCATTTGGTTCCGCGACCGCGTACGACGCTATCACCTACCCATTCGCTCGTTTTTACTTCCGACCGCTCTATGAGGCGCCAAAGCTCGGCCTTCCCCCACCTGACCTACGCTCGTTAAGGAAGTTCAGGCTTGCTCAGCTGAATCACGGCAGACGAAGAAGAAAAAAGAGACAGGCGTCGCAAAGCAGCAACACGAGGGCGAGGATTCGGACCGTTCGATTGCTCGCCAGAAAGAGACTGGATTTGGGAGATCACCCGCAACTACTGAACACCAACTCGGTATCGCTGTCACTAGGCAGCGCGCAGATCTACTATCAAGATGTTTCGCCAAAGGTAAGCTCTGCCATGTTTTGTCGTTATGCGCCGACAAAAATAGCTGT